CACTATTACAACTGCCCATTTTGAAATTTAAGGGACAAGATTGATTGTAACCTCTATATACAAAAGATAAATGGTCTCGTTGTAGATAATCCCATTTGAAAAATGCTAGAACAGTGGAATTTATACAGATATAACAACTGTTGTGTTGTGTTTATGGGGGCGGTTTGTATAAGATGTCAACTTTAAACAATCAAAGTAACGCACACCTCTAAATCTCGCTAAAAGATGTAATTCCAGTGTTGAAAACTTTTACAATGGCCTAAAAATCTATTTTCACCATAAGTGGGAAAGTTGAAGTTATAAAAATGGTGATCAAACAGATCTATAAACACTTAAATTGTTTGAAAATAGACGGTTTAGATAATATATGTTGAAGATTGATGTATTGTCTTATGAGGAAATAGATTTGTCAAGGTGGAGCTCTGGATGGTCGTTGAAAGCCCGAACGGCTTGAGGCCCAGAGGAGTGTTTGGTCAAGTAAACTTGGTTGACTCGGCCCTTGCAGTGGTTCGGGGCCCCCGAGGAAAATTTCGGATATCTGTACATGGGGTATTTTGGTAATTTGTGCCATCTATCTGGGACTCGATATATATTATTGCGATGGTTTTTTTATAGGTTTAAGAGGAAAACGTAAACCTTTTTGTAATCCGAGAGAACAGAGAGGCGTGAGGAAGAGAGCTATTGTAACCGTATTCTCCATTGCCAGTAAAGAAGCTCTTATCTCTTATGAACGTAGGCACGTTACCGAACCACGTATATTTTTGCGTTGTGGTTGGTTGTTTCTTTTCTTTATGTTTGTTTCTTTTTTCATGTTTTCATGGATTGCTTTTGTTTCTACAATGTCTTCGAAGATGCACTATTTTTAAGAGTTGAAATCTTTTCTTTTCACAATCCATACATCACAAGATTGAGATGATCAATTGTAGGCCATGTCAACATTGATACATCCTTTTCAGGTGGATTTTTAAGATGCACCTTACTTCTACATCATAAGGTTGACACCTTCTTCTTTTCTTTCTTTTTTTTTTTTTTTTTTGTATAAGTTTGACACCTTATGTAAACCTTTTCCATATTTTACTCGTTGGTGTTTACAAAGAGTAAATACTTTTCAATCAATATAGCGGGCTACTCTGTTAATGAAATTGATGTAATGGGGTTGGTTAATATCACCCACATTTAACAAATGCGGAAATAACGATGTATCAGCTGTAATAGTGGCCAATATAGACCTGAAAATTGTGGACATTTGACCATAAGGGACAATGCCTTTGGTGGGGAACCAAATTGTGACTTCCCATCGGTTCAGTTTCAAAAGTGAGAAAAAAGTGGACGTCTCTCTTTCTTTCTAGACGTTATTTTCCTTACAACAGCGCACCCTTTCATACCCGAACCATGGGAGAATGGCAACCTTTTTCTTGAGCAAGGGTTAGCAATAGCCACGTGGCCCAGCTTGGCTCCAAAAAACTAGGGCCTAGGCCATAAAATGTGACCCTAAAGGGCCACCTTAGCACGAAGCCCTGGGCCTTAGCCTGGACCATTATAGGGACATGGCCTAGCTCAATCATTTCATTTCATTTTTTTTTTTTGTCCTTTTTATTTTATCTTCGAGTCTATTAGGCCTTGCATAGACTTGGCTAGGGCTAGGCTTGAGATACGGTCTAGTGCAGGCCCACTCCGTTGCTAGCCCTAACCAAAATAAAAGATAGAGGAATTGTTGGATATGGTGATATCCAAAATCACCCAACATAAAAAAATCTCATATTATGTATGATTGGGATTGATATTTGATAAGTTTCCTAGCCCTATTTGGGTCAACATATGGGAAAGGTGACTTCTTCTAAAGTGAGAGGTTATGTTATCTTCTTAGACGATGGTTTAACCGTGGAATAAAGATGAGAGATCAATAGGTGGTGCTTGTCGGGCGCTGTGGATGAACTGTAGAATAGAGATGAACGATCGGCAAATAGTGGCGGTCAGGAAAGCGAGTCTAAAAAGACTGCGTTTTGTTGAGGGTTAAAGAGGTAATTCCATGTTTCAAAATCTATGATATAACTTTCATTAGTGGATTTGATTTCAATTTACTCAACTGAAATTCATCGAGGGTTAAGAAGGTAATTCTATGTTTCAAAATCTATAATATAACTTCTATTGGTATAAAGGATTCAATTTGCCATGCCGTCCCGTGGATGTAACCCTGTGACCTAAATCTTGTATTCATATAGCGTGTGTTTTATGCATTATTTTTCGTATGATTAGTACTCTCGCCTATTTTGCTTTATTTTTCATATGATTAGCACTCTCGCCTATTTTGTTTATAGTTGAATGGAATCCTGGCATTCACGTTTCCAACTTTTTGGGGGAATTGTTACCGAGGGCTATTGAGGCACTAGTATTGAGCATTTTTGTGAGAACATAGTTGAGTGTCTCGCTCCTCATGTAACCAAAGAACCCTTTCATGACAGCAATTCAAAAATCGGAATCCTTTCCCTTGCCTAGAGAGAGAGAGAGGGATAAAGAGCATCTGAATGGCACCGATCGCAATCACAGTGGGGTTTGTACCACTAAGTTTTAGACTTTTCATTCCCTTCTCCCATGCCAAAGCACTAGTTTCACTTTAACCAGACAATGACCATGGTCATGGTCACTTTGTGCTCCAATCTTAAAAGCCTCCCAAGTCTTTTCATAAGCGTTCAAATGAAAAAGTCATGCGCACTGCAGACGCTGTTCATACATGATGCATTATTCAGAAAGAAAACATTATTCCGAAATAAAACAGTAATGAAGCGACCAAGGGAATCAGTTTTGTGCAACAATGATGAGATAAAATGTTTTGATGAGCATAGCTCTGCCCTTTTACAATTTTAATACCATAGGAAAAAGAGCCCGAGCTTAACTGGTTAAATATTGACGATTTGCAACGCTATGTCTTAAGCTCAACTCGTACCAAGGGTAGAAGCCCTCTCCCCACTGACTCACCCAAAAATACAAAAAAAAAAGACTACAGAACAGGACTTCAGCCCATGCAAATGGACGATTTAGGAGGTTTTCTCTCTCTCTCTCTCTCTCTCTCTCTCTCTCTCTCTCTCTCTCTCTGTTACCCTGCACACAAAATAAACAAAAAACAAAACGAAAAAAAAATATGCAAGTATGAAACCATAGATTAACAAATACATGCAAGAAAAAACCGACAAGCGCAAAAAATGAATGGGAAATAGCACAAACAGTTTATCATAGCACTTTTAAAATGATGTTTGAGCTAATAAATATATCTTTTAAGCCTGGCATTTCAGATGCCATCTCCTGGCAGGTATCCCGATAGTCAAAATTCTGTCCAACTAGTCTCATTTGTTAATCTACACTAGTCTCTTTGTTAAACTACATACAAGGAGGGCACCAAGAGGATCACAACCCTCGGGACAACCACTTACAGTGGTTATACAATAAATTATAGACGTCTCAGAACACTTACCATGCTGAACCCAGACTTCAGATGAAAAGAACCTGTGATATGAGAGAGAGAGAGGAGACAGAAGAGAGAGAGAGGAATGAGGGGGGAAGGGAGGGAGGGACGGACGTGCAATGAGTTGAAAGCAAACCAGCCAAGTCTTCCCATCGAGCTTAGGCTTTAGATGAAAGGAACCACTGACTAGAAAACCCATGTTTCCTTACTGTGTGAGAGAGAGAGAGAGTTGCCTGCTTGCGTTGGTCACCTGTTCTATTTGGGGATACCAGTAAAAACAAATTTTTATAGAAAGCTTGTACCAAGAGTGAGGTCACTCAAATTCGTCACGATCTGGGCACGGGTGGTACCGATTTGATGAGCAATGTCCAGCTGCTCTTCCAAAGGCAACATCTCATAACTGAATAAGCATGAACAAGAGAAAAGCCAAGTTACAAGCCTTGCTCTTAGGAGTTTCCCCTACAAAATTTTAACTTTCCAAGGGGAAATTATGAACACGGAAAATACTACAAAAATGAATATCTGAAAAATGGCAAAAACAAACAGACCATTATTCATTATATTTTTTAAAGACAAGTTCATAAACGTAATTTTATATTTATGGAGACCATTATTCATTATATTTGTTTTAAGACAAGTTCACAAACGTAATTTTATGTTACCATAAATTACTTAAAAAAAATTTAAATCAGCAAATAAAGGTATTGCAATATCTTCACGTTTCTTTCCACTAAGGAGAGCATAATATAATCCAAGGGTATATGATTCTCCATAAGTCCATGGGAGTCATCACAGCCCAATCAAATGGAGAGAGAGGGGAACCCAGCAATTGAGTCCTTGCCTGTCGGAGTAACCCCCCTCCATTCCCATCCATTTTTCTATTGGATGGTAATACCAAAAGACAATGGTTTTTCCAATTCATTGTATATCAGTCTACCCTCCTTTTTTACCAGGAAAACAAACACTTCCCATAATAAAGCTTCACACATTGAATAAAGATGCAATCACTTACTGGCAAAGAAGCTCGCAGTCCACCATATTATCTGGACCTGGTTTATGAGCTTTTCCATTAGATCTGAACTGCCTAAACGCCCGAGGGTTTAGTCCACACGCATGAGGAACACGATCCACTAACTTCCTTTGCAGCATTTGCAGGCGGCGAAATGTGAGCTCTTCAAGGGGTGCAATGCACCCAATGCTCCCATCTAAAGTGCCAAACAAGAGGGCGAATCGATTTGTTTTATCGGTTCCTGAAGATGCACTGGTTCGATCAGAAGTTGGGAGCATTTGCAAGCGCATCAGCCTGGTCACGTGTGAGCCAACATGGAATTCAGCTTTTGGAAGTAGCTTCTGCCCTTTCCAGCTCTCCATCAATTTAGGTGCATAGTAGAAAATCTGCGTAACCCAACAATTTTAACACGTCTGTATATGTATATCTCTGTGCGTATGTAACAAATACTGGCCCAGCCTCCTATTATTATTATTTTTTCTTCTTCAAATTTTCCAGGTGGAGAGATATAGCAGGTGCAGAACTAAATTTTTTCATTTACCTTTGTTTTCTCTTTTCGTTTTTTTATCCACCCAAAACACTAGATATAGCGGTGAGTATGGCTTGGCTTGGCAATGGACCGAACAATGGTGGGCCCAAGCCTGGACCCAAATCAAGGGCCCTAGCCTAGGACAGCCCTGAAACGATGTCTAGGTGGCCCAGCCCAGGCTTATTATTGATGCGGGATGGGACCATTAGTTCCACTCTCTCCAGATTTTTATTTTTATTTTTCACTTTTTACAAAAAACAGAGAACAATGTAAAGAACATATAGGAGGGAATTCGGGCGTGAGAAAGCATGCATATAGACTATCCAATTAAGGCCCAAACAATCAAAGTAAGGCATACTGCCAAAATGTCAGAAGATGCAATTTTGGTGTTGAAAATTTTTAGGATAGCCTGAAAATATATTTTCATCGCTAATTATAAAAGTTTAAAACTCCGAAACTGGTTCAAATAAAACAGATCTATAAACATATGAAAATCTTGCAATGGACGGCCCAGATAAACATGTTGCAAGATGTACTATTTTTGGGGGTTGAAATTAGAGTTCCAAAAAATGTCGGGCCTTAGGCATCCGGGGGGGTCCTACTAGATTCTGGGTGGCCTAGGACCTAGGTTGAAGAAGAGGGGCAGGGGGCAGGGGAATATGAGTATACATCATAAAATATCAAAAAGCCCATAATCCAAAAAGTTCCAAACTATTGTATATTTGTAGTAGATAGACTACTAGCAAAAACAAGAATAAAATATAATACTAACTAGTAAGTTAATAATATAAGCATAATCCATAATCCATACTCCATAGATCATACTCCATGCTTCAATGTTCATACCATTCCACAATCCATGGTTCCATACAATAATACAACCACACATGCATATACATAAGAGTAAATAGTAGAAACTAGAAATAAAAATAAAATAAATAAATAAATAAATAAAATATATATATATATATAGTCTAAAACTCAACACCAAGATTCAAATGTCTTCGGTCATCATAAAAAAAATTGGCTAAGCCTCATCATATGCATCAGATTCTAGGTCATCATCATCAAAGTCATCTCTCTCTTCAACATAATGCTCGCCCTCCTCTGTTTCTTCTGAATCTGCTTCTTCATCATCTTTTTCTATCCCCCTCTTACTCTGTGCATATGAGGCTCTAGGAGTCTTGGCTGCTCTACTTAGTGCCTTTTCACCCTTTTCTTGCTTTTTGCATTTCACTTAACTCAAATATTGCTCAATCTCCTCCCTGGTAGCCTTAAGAACATTTTTACACGGAAAAACATCTTCCTTAATATCGACAAGGTGCTTCTAGAACCAGTAAATACGTCATTACTATCCTTTCCACAATAATTACAACTTGTACAATTTGTGTGATTCAGATTCGGGTAATGACCATATTTCCAACCCGGATCACCACTTCTAGAAGAACCTGAAGAAGATATTTCCATTTAAAAGGCTCATTTTCTTCCTTTTTTGGTTTTATTAAATTCAAATATTGTCTAATCTCATACCTAATAGCTTCAGGAACCTTTTTACAAAAAGCAACATTCTCTTTAATACGAACTAGGTATTTCTTGAATCGGTTAATACCTCCATTGATACCTTCTTCACAAAAATTACACCTTATACAATTTTTATCATTAGGTTTCAGGTTATAATCATATATTTTCAACCCAGATCACCACTTCTAGAAGAACCAGAAATAAACTTATCCAAATAACAAGACTTTTGTTTCTATTTGTGTTTTACCGAACTCATATATTGTTTAATCTCCTCTCTGATATTTTCTATAACATTTTAACACGGGGCAACATTCTCCCTAATACCAGCAAGTGTTTTTTCAACTTGGCTTATACCCCTATTAGTATCTTTTTTTTGGCAATAATTACATCTTATATGATTTTTGTCATTTGGATTTGGGTTATAACCATACATCCAACCCGGATCACCACTTCTAGAAGAACTCGAAGAAGACAAATAACAAATAAAATCTTAAATATGAAGATTTTTAACTAACCTTTTTCCTAGATCTTCAATCTTGAATGTTTGAAATGCTACCCAATCTCAAATACTTTAAAAAAAACCAACCCCTACTAAGCTTAAAAAAGCATCAAAATCAAATCCAAACAAAAAAGGAGATGTTTGGATTAATTTTTCAAAATTCTAAATTACCCGATCAATCTTTTAGAAATATAAAAAAGTGATTGTTTTTTTTGTTCCACTCTAAAGATAAACAAAAGGGTTTAGGTCACACAATAAACTAAACCCCTCCTTTTCCCCTAATTTTGGGTTAAAAAAGACCACATTTTTGCCTCTGAGCGGCCACCCAGGGCTGGCCACTAGGCACCCACCCAGGACACCCGCCTGGGTGATGTGCCCAATCCCCCTGGCCCGCCTACGCGCTCGGTAGGCCACTTATTTATTCACAGATTGATTTTTTTTTTTCTATATCCATACATCTTAATGTTGAGATGATCAATTGGATGGTTTTCCAATGTTAAAACAACTTCTTTTGATGGAGTTTTGAGGTGCACCTTAATTCTACAATTTAAGGTGTCAAATTATATAAATTTTCCCATGCAAGGATCTGTTGGCGTTGATGCTAAGGCTGGGTTGGCTCCCTCCGCCTCCTGGGTATAAAGAGTTGCGGGCGTCGAATCGAATGAACATAATTTTGTCCTCGAATCCAAAGGCCAGTTTCAGAGCTTGAAACCGTCGATCCCAATCTGATCTCATTTGGTGGGACTTTCCACTAACTTCCTCGAGAAAGAAAAGGTGCCACTCCCATCTTGCCGTATGTATATGTATATATGTATTTCTAGACAACACTTACACATACCTAAGAGTAAACTTCTACAATATTTCGCTCATGGCTCATCACCATCCAAAGTCCATTAGACAACCATGACTATCCAATAGTGTTTAAATTCTAACATCGTCCTACAAATTGGATTTATCTGAAATTTGGGTTGTACGTACATCTAACCCATAGCTATTGGGAACTAGAGCAGTAACTGCTCCGAGAACGAGAATGGGATCATCGGATTGACATAATCCAAAAGTTTTGGTACTCCAGGATTGAGATCTGTACAACGTATCTAGCCCAAGTGGGATCCCATATAACAAGGATCTCAGACCCAATGCTCATGGGATTTGGACACCATTTTGCAAGAGCCGCCTTACCCACTTCTCATGGTATCTCAATCCCAAATACCCAATGATCATCACCCAAACAAATTGGGGTCCTCGATCCATAAATAGAGGATAGCAAATCCAATGCTCATGGAAACTAGATCCCATTGCGCAACGGACGAGGTTTCCTCGTCCCATTTTGTTAAATGCTTTAATTATATTAATTCGTGATATGTTTTATACTTTTACTAATTCTAGTCTAATACTCTAATACTCCACAACCTATATATAACAATTGTAAATATTTTAAGACTTTTTGGATCACTACATGATATAGATGGAGGTCCACAAATATAGGGATTGAGATCCCTGAATTGGGGATCTAGATCCAAACATGATAGGGATCAAGATCCACAAATAGAGGGATTGGGCTCCCTCATTAGAGGAATCCAGATCCATACGAATAAGGGATTGAGATTCCTAGAAAAATGATCAAGCTCCCTCAAAAGAGAGAGAGAGGGAGAGAGAGAGATAGAGAGAGCTAATTGTGATTACCAGGGGGAAAGGGGCATGGGATGGAAAATTTTATATGCATTGCTTTTTTTAAAGTTAAAGTGCAATGTCACACAAACACATACATACACACAAATGGAAAACAAGTATTGATGAACACTATCTATATATTTAGAGAAAAAAAAAAAGTTCATGACTAGTGGATTCAGGTTGTAATAGTTAGTGTGCATGCATGCCAACCAATATTGCTCAAATCCCATCTAACGCACTTTTAAAACTTTTATTTAAATTAAAAAAAAAAAAAATAGCAAGTACTAGCGGGGGGCCTGGATGAGCCACCAGGCCTGGATTTCATAGCTGGGCTCAGCCTGCGAGTTAGCTTTAGTAGCAAGAGCCGGGGTGTTATCGCAGGGGCTGACCAGCCTATTGCCAGCCCTAGGCAAAGCCAAAATCATAGTCTGCTGAAATTTTCTCCCCATGTTTGGGGCAGAATCATCAAACATAGCAGATGGATAACTAAAAGCAGTTGGATAGGTTCACAGGGTTCGAACCCACAGCATCAAACTTGCAAGCATTAAGTGCCTTCCAGCTGAGCTGAGCTATGGACTTGAACCCTACATACCTTATTCTTTTAATCGTTTAAGACTTGAACCATAACTAGTAATCTAGCGAAGTGACCAAAATGATGATGATCGCTACTGTGGTACATAAGCAAACAACAATAGCAGATTTAGGAAAAATACACCTTACACAAGTTATGTATGGAACAACATCCACAGTCGAGCATCCAATGTCCATCTTGGAAATGGAACAATGTAGATGAATTGGGAGCTCTGTCAAATGTCTGATATTTTTGGTCAATGAACCATGGTACAACTCCAATGTTCATTGCAGATGGGTAGTCGATGGCTATGTTACAATGGTAAATCATAAACAGCACGCATATGGTGTACATTCACTAGATCTTTTGTCCATTGCTTAGGTACCTCTAGGTAAGAGTAATTTTGGTCATGGGAACCAGATAAGTATTCATATGCATAGATAGATAGGTACAAACATATACGTGTGCAACTGCAACAAGTGCTACCAACAACTACATAAATCTACTAATCAGGAAAGAAAAAAAAAAAAAAGGAATAAAAAAACCTACATAAATGTACACATGAAGACATTAATAACGATAAAATAAGTAACATTCATATATGGAGATGAGCTACATAAATAGCTGACCAAATCCATATTTAGATTTCCATAGAACAGCTGACCATTATTCACTGTATTCGTGATTTCATTGATATTCATAACCATACCAGGGTATCATGGAATCTTTTTGCATATCAAGTAAACATGGGCGAAAACATCGAAACGTCTGAGATACAATTTCTGGTTATTTTTTAATAACTTCCTTGTTAGTTATAGGAAGGAAAATTTGGATCTCGGTACCCCCCAACATCTTTTGACTGAATATTTGTTTTTTCTAAGTGTGATGTTTCTTCATATTTTGAATATTTTTTGCCACCATGACATCCAGTGCAGCTGTCTACTAGTTTCAATACTTTTTAAATTTAATTTAGCCCCAGTTGTATAATAGAAAAGCATCCAAAACAATACAGTTAATTATGTTTTCTAAATCAGAAGATGTTCACTACTGAATAGAGATACCTGAATATTCTTCTGGTCATCTGAAACTACAAGGCTAAGTGTACTTCCATCAATCAGAAACTCAGTGGTGTAGCAATTGAGAGAGCCAAAATCCTTGGCCAGCAAACTCAATTGAGCCCCTTGCTCTTTCCAACTGAGGAAGTATATGCTTTTGTGAATGTCGCCCATTAGAATGAAGTTCTTCACCTGCAATTCAAATATCATGCAGAACTATAGGCTGGTACCTTTCAAGGCTTTCATTCTGAGATAATTATTAAATGCTGTGTATAGGTAATTGACTGTTACAAATTAACACCACATGTCTTCTCTAATGAAAATAAATAAACAGAGGGTTGCAGAGGGGGCAATAATGACTGAAATTAAGGAGGGTAGTTTGTAGCCTCTTGACCTTGACCCCTCGTTTTTAGGGGCTATTTTTGCGCAAATATGTTCATTATGGGAAGAAATGTCAAAAACCACGAAGAAAATGTTGGTGAATAGCAAATATCCGTTTCATTGTAAGGAACAAATACCCTTTCCATGCCCCGTTTGGAAAATCTGCTACTCTACTTTGTGGTGCGTAGGATATGCCACTGTTGGAAGACAATTTCTCTAGAAATTTCTCTAGAAATTGGTTAGCTACAGAAAGCAATCAGGGCATGTTGGAAAACATTAATGGTGAAAATCTTACCAAGGTTCTCCGTGTCAATCTTTCCACAATCAATCATGCAAAAAACACTTCATAACAAACACTTCCTATGAGTTGTGTCCAGAGCAAGACAAAAGAAAAACAAAATGTGGAAAGAGAATAACAGGCAGAAGAAAAGTGCAAAATGTTTTTCATAAGAATCAATATAGAATATAAATTAAATGCCAGAGTTCTGAAGTTTCAACAAAAACATCGTCAAATACCTAATTACCAATCACATATATACAGGAATAAAACTTGGAAGCAATCACATAGGAAACTTACAATATTTAAGCTCACAACATATAGGGGGGCATCAAAAAATGCAACAGCAGTCAATTCGGTACCATTCCATTTGTGCAAGACAATTTTTGGGCCAGAAGCAATCAGCAAATGACCTTGAAGGGGGGCTAAAGCAGAGATAGCTCCCTTCAATTCCTTCGAGTGAACTTCCGTGACCTACAACAATCATTGGCAAGCCATTAGACTATAGATGTTAAAAGCACACGAGGAAAGAAACATAATGCAAATGTAAAGGAAGAAAAGGTTCCTCAGAAAAATCACAACTAAGATGAAACAGAATAATATTGCATCAAGAGTAACCAATTTCGAGGATTATCTGCATAATGCAAATGGAAAGGAAGAAAAGGTTCCAAAGAAAGATCACAACTAAGACGATACAGAATAATATTGCATTAAGAGTACCCAATTTTGAGGATTATCTGCATTTTGTCCAACAGAGTACAGAATTATGCGCCCTCTTGCAGCGACATCCTCTCCTTGCACATAAGCAGTCCCCACGGCCAAAAGTGTATCAGTTTCCTTGGTTAAAGTATTCTGAGGAGCAAAACAATTTGAGAAGACGTATATCAAGTTATCAACATCTGACTTAATCACCGAGCGAGGACACAATCAACTACAGTTAATTAAATTACGAACATAAATATACAAACGGTTACACTATTATCAATAGATTGTACCAACCAGAACCTCAACTAGGAAAAATGAAAAGGAATGCACTCACAGATAATGATACAAGACGTATTGTGATTGCATGTTCAGAACTTTGCATTGGGATAGTGGCCTTTGTTTCCCAGGGACCACCAGCTTTTGCAGGTTCCAGAATGCGCACCTCAAACTCATCTATGAAATAGGACCTATTTAGATCTTCAGGATTTAAGTTATCATGTTCGCTTTGATGGCTGACTTCGTGATCAACAAGAGATGTGAGAACTTGACTCGATGGTTTGGCTACCTGAAACAGAAGTAGAAGATTAATTCAACCACAATACCATAATAAGATATTCATATCAATAGCCAGAGAAATGAAAATTCTGCAACGTCCGAATCAGAATAATCAAGATGATCGAACAAAACTGTCAAATTATTTTGTGGGATATCAATATCACAACAGAGAAGCAACCACGCTATGATAACAAGAATATTTTCATGTTGCAGGTTCAAATGATTTGATATATAATGGTTTCCTTTGCAGGTTAACAAAAGGGAATTATCAAAGACGAGTTTCCAAATCAGGCTAACAGCTTCGAGGAAAGAGATTGTAGTATTGTTTACAAAATTCCCAGAGGCTATATCACATGCTTTTCATCATGAAAAATTACTAAACATATCACAAGATTAAGAAATTTTAACATAAATTGGACAGGTGACATCATTGCAGATTCAAATTAATCAATCATGAATCATTTGCTAAGCCATCCAGCTTTGTACAATGCCTCATATAAGTTGTTGGGGATGCGTAATAGTTTTTATTAGAATACCAGACCCACCACTAATGTCCCAGATTCGGCAAGATTTCCATAAGTATACAAGTACTATGCATCATCATAAACAACCCTCTTATGTTCGACATACAAAATTTGTGATCTACCAGCCAACAGCAAGTCTGTAATGCCTTGATCATTTATTAACACATTATAATTACATTATGCTTTGTAGTTATTAAGTCTCGAACTCTATAATCACATCAATCAAACAGTAGCATGATGGATCTGCCTTTTGCCTAGAGCCCCTGTACGACTACCTTCTGAGGCCAGTTTTTCATTACTACTCAGGTTCCAGATGTGTCATTCACTTCTGAAGTTTTGGGCATACCCTCTGAAATTAGTGTCCTACAAGTCCCAAATATGTTGCAAGCATACCTCTCTCCATGAGAGAGCGTTTTGCGCAACTCCAATTGTTCCCAGTATACTAATCACTTGTGTGGGAGTTTTGAATGCCGACTACAAAGTTCAGTTCAGTAAGGGGGGAGGCGAAGCTTAGCGAGCTTTATAAGGACCATTCTTTATTGCCACCTCACTCTCTTCTTAGCACATCCCACGTCCCCCCTGACAAAACTTGCACCATCCCATTACACCGGACACCTGCTTCTGCCCTCTAGACTCTCTGGCCCAACTCCTATGCGCATTACAATGAGCTTATTCTGATAGCAAGAATAACCCTCATGAAAGGTTACAAACTTCTTTTTCCCAGCATTTGAACTGCAAAGCATATATTCACATGCAAGAATCTGTAATCATAACGATTCTTAGAAAACTATTACCCAGATGAAATGGTGTGAGCCCTATAAGCAAGAGTTACAGTTGGAGTTGGGAAGAGACATGGGAGTGGAGCATGTAGAGAACAGGAATACTTTTAGACTTCAAGGAAAACTGAATATCAATCTTCAGAGTATTGTCTAGGGAACTCTGTCCATGAGAACGGGATCACAAACCCGGAGAAAGAATTTTTCATAGAAACAACCATGAGAACGGGATCACAAACCCGGAGAAAGAATTTTTCATAGAAACAACCACTCACCGGAATGGATAATATTAGTGCATAAAGATTCTTCTCAGCAATGTAAGTAACTTGATGTGGAGTGCCTCTCAAAGGAATCTATCAAAAAAAAAAAAAAAGTTATAACGAGTCAAATTAGCAAATACAACACCAAACTTTTACCTATAATATATATTGATTAAACAAAGAAGAATCTAAATAGCAACAGTGAAAAAAAGGAACAATCTAAACATACCTTCTGAACTGGCCAATAGTTGTCATAATTCAGCCATGATGGCAGTCGGCAAATTTTGAGAAACCCCTGATCAATTGGAAAAGTATTTCAAGTTCACAGTCTACAGCTATCTATCACTGGGAGAAGGGAAGAAAATAAGTACCTGTGATGTTACATATATACACCCATAGTTGCAATTAACATTGTGAAGAACAGTGAAAGCTACAATGGGCCCATCACAAAGCTACAAATGTCAAAAACCAAAAGAAAAAGTATTCAAGTTAATAAAGAATACAGAATTGAAAATCATACCAATTCTAAAAGCTAGCACAGATCATGAATGGAATCTAAATCAAGGAATGGGCACCCTATTTCTCATACTTAGCATTTCATCAAGTAGATAGGCATAAAACTCATTAGATTGGCTAGATTAATTATAGGTGGTAAGCATAGAGCTTTTTTCACAACAAAGCATGCATCTATTTTCTTGAGAATGCCACTTGATGAGACACATATCCAGGTGACATCACAGATATATTTTGACAGAGACAACAGTAATGATATCCAAATTGTATCAAACCCCACATTTCAAGGCTCGAAAGTGCAAGAAGCACATTGATGTCATGTCATTTTATGAGATAGAAGTCATCATGAAAATTTTACCCATCTCCCTCATATACCCAGTGTGAATTTAAGAAATGACTACAGATCAATTTGTGTCGTGAAAGCCATTTACGTTTTGCCACATTTTACATCATCAATTTGCAAGGGATGTTGTTGTATGCAATTACACAAACATATGCACTTTACATTATTCTTGCAGGGAATGGTACCCAGATTTCTGTTATTGTAAATAGATCAATAAGTAAATACACACATGAAAATACACACAGACACATGTCAATCATTTTTAGTTGGGGAAGTTCAAACAATTCATAAGCCTGAACTTTGGTCATTAAGAACTAAAATAATCTAACCCCCCTGGCCAAGAGTATTTTGCATATATTCTTGACAGCATGTTAAAAATAAAATGAAGAACGATTTTCCCAAATTTCAAGTTTAACAAGTTCCACATGACTTTTGGTCTTTGATGTCTTACAGGCGACTGATGAAAAGCAAAATGGGTCCAACACGAGGCATCACTTTGCATTTTAGAATATTTAATATCTCATTATGCCTCTCACTAACTCAAAGAAAACAGAACAGGGCTTGTCTTTATATTAATTGAGTTCCCCTTTCAAGTAACGCAAGCCCAAGCCAAATGGTTTGATTAATGTTTCAAAAAATCGTCCGCCCGGTGCCTAGGCACCCAAGACCCCATGCATCGCACACCTAGGCATAGGCGGCCCGTTCTAGGCAGATGTACCTAGACGGGTGCCCAGGCGAGTGCCTAGGCATGTGCCAAGGGATGTGGATTTTTTTTTTTTAAAGATACCCAAAATGGCAAAAGGGGTAATTTTGACCCCCAAAAAGGTTTAAATAGGTTATGGGGGTTATTTTCAACCCCCAAAGTTCAAAGAATAATTCCACAAACCGTCTTAGCTATACCTGTTTTTAAGAATCAAAAGTATTTTTTGTGGTTTGAAGAAGCTTCCTAAACTTTTCTACTTATTATAGAATACGCCTATTTCTAAGAATCAAAAGTATTTTTTGTTGTTTGAAGAAGCTTCCTAAACCTTTCTATTTATTATGGAATATGGAGAGTTGGAGACTTTCTAAATTTTGTATGGTTTGAATTTTGAACAAGTTTATTCTCAACATGCGATGTCATATGTTTGTATAAAGCATGTTACAATATTTTCAAATGCAATAAATTACAAAATTGACACAAATATACGTATATATTATATATCCATAAAATTTGTACTAAGGGCACCCGAGGTTTTGGGCACCGGGCCGGCCACCTCAGGCCGCCTAGCATTTTTTGTAACCTTTGGTTTAATAATTCTTCCAACATTTTTGCCACGGTTTCACTTAGTTGAAACCTAATCTTCACATCATTGTGCACAAAAGCATCCCGGAGAAAACAAAGAAAACTAAAATGGTTCTGAATCCATTTCAGTAACATCAACTTTCAACAAGTTGACTTACTCCAACAACATGTTAGCACACCTGATGATGGATTCTTAGCCTTTCTCTGCAGACTATCAACCAAGCTGGTCTTGACCCAGCAATGAATGCACCTTGATGGCCTCCAATGTTCATGAACGTGATGATTTTTCTGTATGAAACAACACCCGGTGATTCCTCCCTCGTTAATGATTGTAAAGAAACACGGATAAATCTCAAATTTCGAAGTCTAGATGTGCTTGTATTGCTGGCTTCGACTACATTTTCAGCTGAATTTGAATCATCCAACTTGGTCATGTTATCTTGACCCTCATACAAGTAAGCATGGTAACAAAGCGTCGATCCATCAGCTAAACCAGCAAAAAGGAATGGGCGGCCATATTGGCCAGACCATCTGTGCATGCATAACTCAACAACTTTCATGTTCTTCACAGCTTCTTTCTCAAGTTGATCACTGTCTTCGGAATACGAACTCTTTGCTTTATGGAGATCTTTAAAAGATTCCTGATGATGAGCATCAAAAAGATGGGTCCTAACAGTCAAAAACCTATCGACAGAGAAGAGGCATTTGAAACTAGGCACATCAAATATCTCAAGCCTCCCACTTTCATAACAAACAAGACAGTAAATATCACCCTGATCATGTTGTGACCCATCACTTCCATCAAGAGCCTCAGCTACACCACTTGAAAGCCAGGCATCTGGACTTGCCTTGCGCAGCCATGGTTCAGGTCCCTTATCATGATAAAAAGTACATGCAGTTATTGGATCAGATAAGTTTTCAAAGACTGCTGGAAGACTTGAAGTGATTGTGCAAGTAGCAGGATCTGCAATACAGATAAAAAGAATTTCAGAAAGAAGATGACAAACAACTTATCTATATATACAGTTAACAGCTTAAATAAAAAAAGACAATATATATATGGGGTGTGGTCTCTATAAGGTTGCCACCTTAAACAATCCAATTAAAGCGCACGTCCAAATTTTATCATGAAATGTAATTTTGGCGTAAAAAATTCTTCGGATTATCTTAAAATCTATTTTCATCTCATCTCTAATTATAAAATTTTAAACTCCAAAAATGGTTAAAATCAAGTAGATCTATAAACATATGAAAATGTTGAAAATGGACAGTCTAGAAAATGGACAGTCTAGACAATGTATTGTAAAATGCACTATTTCTAGGACTTAAAATCTTTTTTTTTTTTTTTTCATATTCATACATCTCGATGTCAAGATGATCAATTATTTTCTGATGGATTTTTGAGGTGCATCTTTAATTCTACATTTTAAAGTTGCAACCATATATAAACTTTTTCCACACACACACACACACACACATACACACATATATATATATAGATAAGTCAACATGCCAATATGGTACAAGCCACTTTGAAAAGCAGTTGCGCCCTAAATTATACACGTAGGTCTCACATAGAAATTGCAAAAAAGTAATAAAATAAAAATAAAAATAAAATGAACTAGCACAAAATAAGGGGGAATAAACAAGTCCCCTTGAAATGTCGGAAATGCATGTTCATTTGGTGGACAGTGGATCTAAGTCATCAAGAACTTAAAATCCATATCCATGTATATAACCATATTTAGGAATGTATACCATGAGACCATTTACCTTTGGCGCAAAGAGATCAGAATTACTTATAACCATTTGATATGAAATTTGATAGCTCGGGCATGTCACAAAGTTTGAGATAACTTATTTTGAACTTTGAGCTTGGTCAATGGAATAAATATAGCCACCCAATTTCACATCCAATAGTCAACATTAATTGTGACCACCTTGTAGTGTGTGTGTGTGTGTGCGCACTATGCTCTGTGTGTGTGTGTGTGTGTGTGTGTCTGTGAGTATGTTGTGTGGGTATGCATGCGTGTGAATGAAGTCATGAGAAAATACTCTCGTGGCACACCTGCTTAGGCCATATGTCTTTGGAATCCTTAAAACTATTGTTTTCATATAAGTTTGTTTCTCTGAATTTTTTCTCAAATACAATGTGAAACTTGTTAATTGTTTAAGCATTTTAGAAACGCTTTTTCTTCAAGCAAAAATAAAATTTCTACACTATTCCATCTTGTTCATTCTGATATTTAAGGGTCTGCTCTAGTTAATTGGATATTGGTATTTTATCTCATTCATTGATGACTACTCTCATTATACTTGGAATTATCTCATGAAAAGTAGAGATGAAATACTCTTAATAGTTGAAATATTTCATAAAATGATTCAAACCCAGTTGGCGAACCAAACAAAAATTTTCGATTATGATAATGCACGAGAGCATCTAAGTCGTGAATTAAATAATTATCTTCGTGAACATATTCTACATAACTCTGCCTTAGCTGTCCCCAAGCCGATCATGCGGTCCCACGCCCGGGTAAAGGAGGAGGGTTGTGCTGCCAGCGTAAAACTTTACCAAATCTTCTCATGAATCCTTAACCTAAACGCAGAATGGCGGAACAGGATTCATGTAGCTGAAATAGTTGGGATAAGGCTTAGATGATGATGATTTTCGTGAACACATTAAAGAAACTTAAGCATCATGTTCTTATACACCACAACAAAATGGCGTGACACAACAAAAAAGTAGATTCTTGTTAGTTGTAAGAGTCATCTTAATAGGAATGGAGATTCCTAGGAAATATTACGACAAAGAAGTTCTCATTGCTGCCCATATAATCAATAGATGCCTACACTTGTTCTCGATGTTGGTCACTGATGTAGGAAATTTGAACGAGAACAGAAAATCAACAATAATTCAGGCCAAAACACACGTAATAGTAGAAGAAACCCGGGGTTTCTTCCTCGAAGAAGTTATTATTGCTGCCCATATGATCAATAGATGCCTACACTTGTTCTCGATGGAGCTCACTGATGTAGGGAATTTGAAGGAGAACAGAACAGCAATTATTCAGGCCAAAACACACGTAACAATAGAAGAAACTTAGGGTTTCTTCCACAAACCCTACATAGGGCTTCAAAATCTTGTTTAAGGAGCTTTTCTTTCTTTTTCTCTAAAACAAACCACGTGAATGAACACTCAAGGGCCCCACACACCTCTTAAATAATATTTATTAATTGTTTAAGGACATTAAATGCTCATTCAAATGAATATAATGACCCAAAATCCCCAACTTAATCACAAAATTCATAATGACAGTTTTATCCTTGATAAAACAAAATATTCCATAAACACTTGAAGTACTTTTCTAAACAACGCCTTAAAATCCTAAAAAAATTGGAACCCTTCAAAAAAATTAAAAACCCTAAAAATAAAACCTGAAATTAAAATTAAAATTTAAATATCTATCCTTTAAAACTAAATAAAAACTAAAATAATTTTGCCTTGCACCAATCTCCCATGGTTGAAGAAAACTCGTCTTAAGTTTTGAAGTAGACAAATTGTGGTTTATGAATTGACCACACCTCTCTTGTGCTACTCTGATTCCAATGCTCTAATTCTCTTGAATACTCCACCACTTCGACATCTTTGAGACCTTCAAAGGCCATGATTTTGATCAGTTCTCCGATTGTCGTCTCTCCAATTTCTTCATGACCAAGATCCTCTTCTGAAACATCTTCATCTTCATCTTGATCCTTATCATAGTTTGGATCTCCTAAGAGATCTTGTTGTTCATTTGCGCATGTGTCAAAGTTTGGTCGCAAAGCCCAATCTACAACCTGCTGATTTTGGATACAACCTGAATTACAATCAAGAATGTCCTCCTTCAAATCGAAAATCTTAGAGTGATGTCCTCTACGTCTAGGTCTTTTATCACTTTCCATTTCACATGACTCTTCACACGAAGTATAGCAATGAAAGGGTTATTTTGAGATCTTCTTGGGTTGAAAGATCACCGTCCTGCCCACGCAAACTGCTGGACTTGTTGTTTAAAATCCCAAATTTCTTCCTGTCCGAGATCATGAATATGGTCTACAAAAGCGCCCCCTTCATTCTCACTGGCATTAGGCTCACCAAAATCACAAACTATAGGCAGAGAATCAACAAAAATCTCGTTGGAATCAGCAAGATCTAGCTGAATTTGGCAAAACTTGCACTGAGATCAGCAAAGTTTTAGCTGAAATCAACAAGCCTTGCCCCAAAGTCAGTAAATCCTAGACTTGATTGTAGTTTATTGACCTTGTTGTTGAAGAAAACCTGAGCTTTGATACCAAATTGATGTAGGGAATTTAAAGGAAAACATAAACCAGCAATAATTCAAGCCAAACACATGCAAGTAGAAGAAACCTAGAGTTCTTCCTCATACTAAACCTAGGGCTTCAATAGCCAAGAGCTTTTTTTTTTCTCTTAAACAAACCACGTGAATCACCACGCAACTGCCCTACGCACCTCTTAAATAATGTTCATTTACTTGTTCAAGGACATTAAATGTACATACAATGAATAAAATGACCAAACTTCCTAACTTAATCAAAAAATTTGTAATGATTGTTTTATCCCTGATAAAACAAAATATTCCATAAACACTACTTTTCTAAATAACTTCTAAAAATATTCAAAACCTAGAACCCCAAGAAAATAAAAACCTAAAAAGTAAATCCTAAAATTAAAACTAAAATATACATCATTTGAAATTAAATAAATTCAAAATAAGAACAATATTGTCTTCGATCACTTACCCTTTCAAATTTCTCCACCATGCACTTCCTACGTTTTTCTCTTCCACCAAAAAGCTTCGATTGTATATGCTCTGTGCATATCCTAGGGCCTGCTAGAAATAAATTAGAAACCCTAATCTCATACATATATGTTCCCAGGATACTTGAACTCTCAAGAATGATACATGTGTTATTGTCCCATGACTGAGAGGAAATATATCTCAGGAGATTTTACCTTCTCTAAGACATTATCCAAACTTGTAAATTCTAGAATGCCTTCCTAGCCTTTCCAGACATTATCTAAAAACAACCACCAAGTTTTACCGAGTCAACCAATTGGAAAGAGAGGGGTTTCTGGCAAAAGATTCCTAGGGCGCCCCACACCCCACAGCAAGTGGGCCTCCCCACATGTGGGCACTTGGTCATTCGACCCCAAGCAGGTCACAAATATTTTTAAATACCCAAAAGAATTTTTTAATCCCCTCTAAGTACTTTTTAAAATGATTCATAAATATCTCATACTGAAAATACAATTATTTTTTATTAAAAAATTATTATGCAAAAATAAAATATGTAATGCACTTTAAAAATTCATTTTTGTGATTAGTAAAGTTTCTAAAACATAAGCAAATATGATTAAAAGATAAAACATAAAGGGAACATACATAGGTCTAGTATGCGGATTAGAAATTCCCCCCGAGGACAAGCCATGTATCACATAGATATATGTATACACTATAGCAATGGTGTAGGAGGTCTCTCTTCAGTAGATGTACATGTCTTATCCTAACGGGTCACTTCCCATAGATGCAACTATCTTATGTACATGTTATTTGATGGTAATAATGAAGATTTCGGCCCTTGCTCTCACAATCCACCAACCACAAACAGGAGACCGGCCACCTCTTACCTAACCATCCTGGGTATCTCTCCGACCTCAGCAATGGTTAACCTTACAAACCCTCCACGGTTGCGCCTTATGCCCAAGGCTAAACGGCTATAGACTTGACTTCAAGGCCTAGACCACACAACCTAGGTGAGTCAAAAGGCACTACAAAGCGTGCCTCATTAGTGCAATACAGACACCAAATAGACACAATATCACGATCGTTATAGTTTTCTACATGTGTTCAAGGCCTATGAAGGTTATGCAAATAAAAATTGGGGCTTTTAATTTTGTGTTTTATA